TGTGATAGAAGGAATAAAAAATTAGATTTTATTTGTGCGCACTTTTCTATAACCATTTTTGATAATATTCGTATAACTTCAAATGCACTTTCAACACCATGCACAATATCAATATTAAGAAACAGATAAACTGGAAAATACATTTCTCTCTGATGCTCAGCTAATCTTACATTTATCTCTGTTTAATGAAAAAAACAACAACAAAAAACATTTCTTATCCTTTACTTGTTTATAAATTTAGCTATATATATAACATTGTTCATTTTTACTTTCTGTACCAAGTTTATGAATTTGCAACAATAAAATTCGGGGCTCTGTTCCCCGCGGTGAACAGCTCAGATAGGCCATTGTTTAGCTTTGCACTAAAACAAACAAACAAACTGAACCACAAAATAAGAATTTTTATTTTACATGAAATATATGCAAAGACCTATCGTTACTAAAACATAATTTGGAGTATTTTTATTTCAATTCATAAATCTCTCCTAACCATCTGAATTGAGACAGAAAAGACAACTTGTCATATATATTACATTCACAATACATAGCTACAAATATGTTCTTATATGTATAAGAAACATTCGTGCAGCTTAAAGGAATTTGCGTAACTTTGGCCCTTTACTGATAACAATGTAGGGAAAAATCCCACGATTCTACCAAGCACAACAAATATGTAGCTTAAACTGTTCTGTGCTAGCCAATAAAATTTTATCGGGATCGCACGTTCGATATTTCCCTGTGTTGGAAGCTGTCCTACCGTTGGACATGATATGCATGTTTTGTGCTAGCCAATAAAATTTTATCGGGATCTCACGTTCAATATTTCCCTGTGTTGGAAGCTGTCCTACCATTGGACATGATATGCATGTTTTGTGCTAGCCAATAAAATTTTATCGGGATCTCACGTTCAATATTTCCCTGTGTTGGAAGCTGTCCTACCATTGGACATGATATGCATGTTCTGTGCTAGCCAATAAAATTCTATCGGGATCGCACGTTCAATATTTCCCTGTGTTGGAAGCTGTCCTACCGTTGGACATGATATGCATGTTCTGTGCTAGCCAATAAAATGTTATCGGGATCGCACGTTCAATATTTCCCTGTGTTGGAAGATGTCCTACCATTGGACATGACATGCCTGTTCTGTGCTAGCCAATAACATTTTATCGGGATCGCACGTTCAATATTTCCCTGTGTTGGAAGCTGTCCTACCATTGGACATGACATGTATGCTCTGTGCTAGCCAATAAAATTCTATCGGGATCGCACGTTCAGTATTTTCCAGTGTTGGAAGCTGTCCTACCATTGGACATGACATGTATGCTCTGTGCTAG